TCAGAGTGAATTCCTCGCGAAGCAACGTCCTAAGGAAGACCTCCAACGAAATGGACGTATTTGTGAAACGGATCGACCAGCTGAGAAACCAACTGGATACGATTTCTGTCTCTGGAACTTTTGAACTCAGCCACCGACGACAACCAAAAAAATCGTGGTTGTTTAGAGTGAGGGACAGGAATCACTGGCAACCTTGAGCTGGGACCGTTACGTGAAAGCGGGTCATCTACATGGAAAAAGCTTAGGTTGGTGAATTCAACGATTACTTGAGCGATCGTCAAATTATCGGAACAAAAACTTGAGTGCTAGAAAGGAAAAGAATTTCTAAGTCCACTGTTTGAAGTAATCGTCTACCATTATTCTGTACAATTTGAAGGTAAGCCTGAAAATGGCACGATTTTCGGACCAATTTAATATATTAGGTTGTCTCAAAAGTAAACTTCTTCTTTGAATAAATCAAGCTGTTGTTTTCTGACATACTTAGGAAACCATGATAGAGCGAAACAAGCTCAGCAAAATTGACTACCAAGGATCCTCCTAAGTCGTAATGCAGAATCTAGGGCCAAAATCGAAAATATTTATCACCTCAGATTTTAAATTTTTGCGGGAAGGGACCTCCAGCATTGTCGTATTACCGTAGACATAGTACTCAATAATGCTTTCGCTGGGTTCTTTCGCCCATAAAAAAGAAGAAAAAAAGATGGCTCAAAAGTTCCAAACTCCATCCTAACCTCCCCAATATGGATATTCTGAAAAAACTCAATAAGTATCTTTTTTATCTCTGAATGTGCTAACTTTAACAGCATGAAAAACCCGAAAAATCAACATTTTTGCATTTTTTGGCTAATCTTACTCCTTAAACTTGAAACTGGGAAAAAACCCACCAAATGCATCTTTGGGTACTACTGCGGACAAATTTCTAAACAAAGACCCAATTTTTTCGATTTTTTAGGCATTTGGAACTATTTGCATTTTGATTTTTAACTTCACGTGGAACAAACTTGGCGTTGGAGCATCGAAACTATTTTGTAGAGATGGTCTGCTCTATCGAACCGTCCTCACGCATTCCTAGAGTTAGTCAGGGCCCGGCACAGATCGTCTGGAAGCAGGCTGGACTTCGTCTTTGGAGCAAGCAAAAGGATATCGTTTTGACGAGTCGGGGCCGAGCACCAAAAATAAGCGCCATTTGATCGAACAAAAGCTTTTCAGACAAGTTATCACACGATTGACATGCTTTATTATGTATGACGAAAAGTGCGCGAAAGCAAGGGCTATAATGAAAAAATTGCTTGTTTACAGCGCACACAGAAACACCAAAATTGAGCTGTATACATAACAAATTATTTGCAAAAGAATTATGTAAAAAGATTTGAAAACATATATGGAGTAATACCTTTTTCAGACGGTCATAATACGATTTGAGATCGTATGGAGCATATATTTTTGTCGCTTCACATAGGTTTTGCTTTTTTTTTATCATGGATGGATTACCCGGTCAGAAATTATCCCGGAGCATTGAGACACTTCCATATTATTGCCTTTCCTTTGTTTTTTTGCCTCATTTTCTTCATGAATTGCTTTGTCAAATCGCGCTTCAGTGCCAAACTCTTGTGCATGCGTAGTTCAGCTCCAATTTGAATTTTCTTCATCTTCCCTTAAGTAGGTAGGTCAAAGAAGACTTCGTAAAACTTCCGAAAGTTAGGGGGGGGGGCTTCTTTCTCTGAAACCCTAGAAACCGACTCATGCCGGGCCCTGGGGTTAGTCTCGTTGCGATGCCACAGCAAGCAAATAAAAAACGACATTATTTTTGACAACCTAATTCAATGTTGAATGTGGATAGTACATGTCTAAGCAAACAGGAGGTCCGCAGGAATTTTTTTTGAAGAGGAATATGTATCAGGTGAGTCCGGAATTTCATGCCGTTTTTTAGACTTATCTTAAACTAGCTGGCTTACCCGGCTCCGCCGTATCCGGACCAAACTTGGCACACATACACTTCGGGCCCCGGCGGGTGTCACAGTCCACTTTTCGTTATCGATCGATGTCGATTTTACCGATTTTTATCATTTTCTTTGCAGAGTTCACCTACAGGGCTAGGAGTTGGCACAGGGGGGAAGTGAGCATGGGGATTCCGAATACAATATTAGTTTTCAGAATTATCGATTGCTTTTATTGATTTTATCGATTTTTTGGCAGAGTTCACCTACAGGGCTAGGAGTTGGCACAGGGGGGAAGTGAGCATGGGGATTCCGAATACAATATTAGTTTTCAGGATCGTCCATTACTTTTATCGATTTTATCGATTTTGTTGCAAAGTTTGACCTGCGGGGCTGGGAGTTTGCACAGAGGGTAATCGAGCATGCAGATTACGAATACAATATTAGTTTTCAAGATCGTCCATTACTTTTATCGATTTTATCGATTTTTTGAAAATTTGAGCTAGGGGGCTGGAATTTGGCACAGGGGTGTTCGAGCATGCTGATCACCCCCCTTGGGGATGATCAGCATGCTCGATTACCCCCCTGTGCCAACTCCCAGCCCCCTAGCTCAAACTTTGCAAAAAAATCGATAAAATCGATAAAAGTAATCGATAATCCTGAAAACCAATATTGTATTCGGAATCCCCATGCTCGATTACCCCCCTGTGCGAACTCCCAGCCCCGTAGCTCAAACTTTGCAAAAAAATCGATAAAATCGATAAAAGTAATCGATAATCCTGAAAACCAATATTGTATTCGGAATCCCCATGCTCGATTACCCCCCTGTGCCAACTCCCAGCCCCGTAGCTCAAACTTTGCAAAAAAATCGATAAAATCGATAAAAGTAATCGATAATCCTGAAAACCAATATTGTATTCGGAATCCCCATGCTCGATTACCCCCCTGTGCCAACTCCCAGCCCCGTAGGTGCACTCAGCAAAAAAATCGATAAAAATCGATAAAATCGATATCGATCGATGACGAAAAGTAGCCTATGACACCCGCCGGGGCCCGAAGTGTATGTGTGCCAAGTTTGGTCCGGATCGGTTCAGAAATGGAATTTTCTATTCGGAACATACGTACACACAGACATACATACAGACAGACAGACAGACAGACAGACATACAGACAAACAGACATTCAGCTTTATATATAAGATTATTCAGAATAACGTTAGACAAGCGCTTTGAGCACTTCTACGCAAAATTTCTTACTCTTTTCAACAGTGATGTCTTTGTTCGGATTTTTTCAATATTTTTCCGAATAATCGACACAATCCGCAACCCATGCATTTGGCGTTCCCTAACTTCAGCTATTTTTGGAAATCGTTTTTGACTTGTGAAAGAAACTTTGGTAACAGTTAAATAGATTAAACAAAATGCTACAAAACCCAATTTTTTGGCATCGATAGTTGGCTTTTCAGTATTTTCGAAACAATTTTTTCAAAAGCCTTCGCATTTGCGAAGTCGTAAAATATACAAACGCTTCAAACACTAAGACTTCGCAAATTGGGAATTTCAAAGTTGATCATGATCAAGCATCAATTTTAACAAACAAATGAGTTTCTACCGTCTCGAAGTATTGGTTTTTGAAATTTTCGGGTGCAGCTGGGACGGACCAAAAAAAACTAGAATTTTGGCAATTTTTTCCTCGAAGCCTCTACAAATTAGAAAATAAGACATCTTGCAAAAAGATGAGAAGAAGCTGCATCGAATGACTCTAGCCGTTTGCTGTCTGATGTTCTACGCGGTTAGCGATAAACAAATATCAAATTTGATAGCATCAAAATGATAATTTTAGAAATTTCGAAAAGCTAGTAACCAATGCCAAAAAGTTGCATTATATTGCATTTTGTATAATCTATCCGATTATAATCAAAACATTTCCAGAAGTCTATAACGAGAATTTGAAAAATAGCAGAAGTTAGGGTAGGTGAAAATTACGGATTGAAGATTCTGACAATTTTTCAAGTGAACATCAAAGGAATCCAAATAAAAACATTACTGCTGGAAAAAGAAGATGTTCTGCATTAATTTTTTATAGTGTTTGTAGCTCTTTATCCTGAATATTTGAGGAAAAGTCCGAAAAACGGCGCGAACTTTTGAACCCACCCGATATTTTTCTCGTCTTTTCGGGCATTTACATAGATTCCGTGACATCGGCTTTGAACTTTATGTCCAACAAACTTGAATAAACTTTGAGCAAATGAAGGCATCTTGTAGAGCTTGCTTTGCGCTGTCCAATGATACCGCAAAACCTATATATGAAACGAGAAGAATCTAATTATTAGGGTCCTATATCAGATCCCAGCGGCCCAGCTCAAAGTCTGCACAAAATATCTAAGATTGATGAGTGCGGGTACTTTTGTAGTTAGCATATTAACTTATCCTACTAAACCGACTGCCTTGATGAAGTGTCTTGAAATCATCACCTGTATCCTACTAGTACTAGCATCCTTTAATTTAGCTAGCCTACGAGGATCCGCCTGGTTCATAAAGTGTGTTCAGTGTTTGTCTGCATTGGTAGAGATAAAATTTCGTGAGCATACGAAGCGGACAGGAGGGGCAAGGACAGGAATTCCAGCAGAAGAATAAGCTTCAAAATTATCGAAATTACTTATATTACTTACGTATCTGCGCGTGCGTCTTGTTTTTCACTCGATAATCAAAACAAACTTCTGATTTCCGTAAAAAAACTTCGCCATGAACCGTCATAGTCACATATTTGAACACATACATAAGTACATCTAGAACTCTCTCTCTCTCTCTCTCTCTCTCTCTGAATCTTTCAATCAGGAAGCAGTTACTAACCGAATTAAACATCCGGGGAGCAGATAAAAATATTCGCAACAGAAATGCGTGCTCTTCTTTATCTGCAAAATTACATTAAACAGGAATCAAATTTAGTACGTCTTTATTTTTTTCATGTGTGCAGCATTCTACTTTCTGCTTCTTCCAGTCATGCTTAACATGGCATTGTTATTTATGATACTTATATAAAATCTACGGAAAATGATTTAGGAATTATGATGATGGCGACACTGTCATAGATATGCTACAACAAAATCTCAATCCACAGGACTATGCTCTATCTGCTTACAACTCCATGTCAGCTCCAGCTGAAATTGTAATTAATTACATCATATGCAGCTATTTCCAGACTCTAAATCACTTGTTGCAGCTGATGAGCCCCAATGTTACGAAAATAGGATGCGCTACGCAACAATGCGGTGGCAAAAAAAGTATGCTCTGCGTTACCGACGAGAAGTAAGTGCTACATGTTTCAACCTAAACATTTCGAATATATTGGGTAGAGTACCTTCAGTCTCTTCCGTACAAATAGTTCTACATAAATTTGTCAAACATCTATGAAGCGATTATGCTAATCTTGAAAAATGCGTAATGCAGCTTACGCTTAACCTGGCAAAGTAAGCAGATTTGACAATAAATCCCCTAATCCTCTATCTTTTTTCAAGAGTATTGGACATAAAGCTCAAAGACGGTTTTCTTTGAAAAACGTAAAAATTGGATCAAAATTTCTAGTATCTAGCTCTCTTTCCCTGCTCTATAAAGGCAAGTCATAAACGAAAGTTTGCAGCATTACAGCCAGAAACGAAGCTGTATTGTGGCTGTGCCAATCCGTATAACACTGCACCCCTCTAGTCTTCTGAATGCTAAACGTCGCTCAGGAAGGCGTAGCAGTTTATCGTCTTGAAAAGAAATAAATAATCATGACCTCCTTGGGTTCAAAGCATACTTCCTGCAATTCGTCAACCGTCTCTGTAATTTGTCATTGTCTAAGTCAAATGGGTCTTGAATGCGTAGGCCATAGCTTCTGTAAGTAGCCGCGAAACGCATGAAGTTTGACCCAAGTAGAGCGCGCTTACGACCAACTATGAGGAATCGTTGCATTGCAAGCGCAGCGTTTGAAATCGAATGTGGTATGCTTTATTTCTTAGAGAATGCTTTTGATATGCTGATCAAAATGAATGTCTCAAAATGAGTGTCCATTGTCGGGCCTGCGTAACACTGTCCTTTGACGCACGGACTCAATTCACATATAAACAAAGCTCATAAGCTAGGTAGAACAACACGATTGTTTTGGGCATCAGCCACATTCTTCACTTGCACCCAAATTCATGCTCCGTGAGCGTTGGTCAGCTCTTCTGATGTTGCACTTCAACAGAGAGGCTGCAAAAAAATCCACTTTTCCGCACCTTTGATCTTTAGAGTTTTATTTGATTCTATAAACTCACTCATGATGCACCCATAGATTTGGTTGATTCATGTTTAATGCACGTTTTTCGTACCTCTTATTAAGCGCTGATTTCCAAAACAAATCCAATTTTCTCAAAGTCTTTCCATAATTTTTAGGAGAGCGTTTTCCTAGTTCTTGCTTATGCCTTTCCGCGAGAGACAGTAAACACCTGTAGTTCTACTGGGGACACTCCATGTGAAGAAGGGCTCATATTGAGTTGTCCCAAAAGTAAACTCTTTTTTGAATAAATCAAGCTGTTTTTGTTTTCCCAACAGAATCAGGGTATCAGAGTGAATAAAGTGAAGCAAGCTTTACAAAATAACCATCAAAAAGTTTGCCTAAGTCGTAATCCAGGTAAGATTTAGAGCCGAAAATCAAAACTTTTCAACTACCTTGAAAATCGGATCTCCTTTTAAAATTCCTACGCACCTCCAACTCAACCGTCATTATACAGCAGATGCATAGTAGTACTCAAAAATATGTACACTGGTTTTTTTTCAAAACACTAAACTAAGAAATCGAAAGCTTGAAAATGCAAAAGTGTCACGTTTTCGGGTCGTTTGTGTTAGAGTTGACATTACTCCATTACCAAAGCACACACAAAACAAAATTTTCAAAATTGTGCATACTAAGGCTTGTAGTATGCATTGGTCTATGTGGGGGGGGGCTGTGGGGTAGATTGCCATGTTTGGATCATCCTTTTTCTCCGCCTATGCGCTGAGATATTTCATTAAAAGCATATTTGAGTACAACTATGTATCTACTGTTCAATGACCAACTTAGAGGTCCACAGTATTTTTCTTCGCAAAAATTCAGCGGGAGATGAAGTTTTTTCGATTTTGGCTCATAACTTTACGTGGAATACGACTTGGGCAAATCGATACTTTTCCGTTATCCGGAAATACTTTCAAGAAAAAACCATATCGTTTCTCTCTTTAAACCATATTAAACCAATTTCACTGAAAAGAGTGTCAACCTTTTGCCACTTGTCAGAAAATTATGACATGCCACCTACACGTTTTACAGGTTTTGCCGAGAGTTTGTGTTGTTGCTTACCCACCAACTTTATTTGAATGCATTTTTCAGTCTTGTACCCATTTTTGAAACTTGTTCTTTCAAAAATGAGACATTTACAGACATAAGGATCCTGCTCTCAGAAACATATTAGATTTATTTAGAATAGGAAAGTGTCTAGTTTATTAGAGCAGTGAAAAAAGCGGCAGCAGGCAGCTTCTTTGAGTTTCAGTGCCATTCTTCCCTGGCTGCTTTTGCATGGCTGAAAGTCTGAAGAGGAAGATAGCATTTTGTAAAAACCGATTAGGTTGAGCTAGTTAACTTTGGGTGGTTTTGCTTCAATGAAAAACAGTCGAACAGCTTTTATAGCTCAGCTCTAATACTTGTTTACCTCACCGGAAATGATTTTAAAAAACGTGTTAACTCTTTCCGTGACACGTGGCGGAGTGATATTCCTTATTTGTATGAAAAAAATTTCCTAGAGTAAAGCATGTATTCCATGAGCATTCTTAGGAAAATTGAGTATAACGGAGAATTATCGGCAGATTTTGGTTGGTCTCTTGTAGAGCTTGTTTTTCTCTATCGAAAGATACCAAAACTCTGTCAGGAATACAGATACATATTGATCTACTCAAAGGACCTTACTTTTGGGACAACCTTATAATGTCTAGTTGTAATTAGGCAGATTTATGGCCTGCCATCATTCATCAAGCTGGTTTTAGAGTGGTAAACCTCCAAATACCAATAGAAAAAAAGATGTACAGCTTTTTAGCACCGATGAGGCGTTCCTCGGAGTTTCTCTCCCCAGTGATATGTACTCGTAAATGGTAGCAGCTGCTAATAAAGATAAAAAGATTTTCATGCGTTCTTTCTTTACACTGCTGTTCGAAGTAGATATACAGGGTGCTTGAAAAGTTCGTGGCCTAAGCTACTTCTAATTCGAATTTTGACGCGCTTTTTGTTTTGTTGTGCTCATCAGATCTGGATACCATTACTCCAGTGAAATCAAGTCTCTTCGCGGTTTCTTTGATTTCTTAATAGGTTGAAACCATCAGTATAACTTTCCAAAATTCTTTTTTTAAAACACTTGCTACAAAAAAGGAAACATAATTCACAGAAAACTTGATATACCTTCTAAAAGCCCTTTCTTTAAGGTTTCTTAAATGTGCTTTTACTTTCGTAGAAGTAAGTTCGTTTTGGAATGTCGTGAATTGAAAGACAAAGGGTCCACTTTCAGAATTTTTTTCGTCAAAAAGTCCAGCACCGAAATTTTTATATTTCATCTTCAAAACCTTTGCAAGCGTGCAAAATATTTGAGAACAAATATAACGAAGGTCAGAAAGTTGTGCTACAAACACATGTTGAAATAAGACTTTCAAAACTTCTCAAATTGAAAAAAATTTCAACGCAAACTAGTGCCTCGACTGTCTGCTGTAAGAAAAAATCTTCGTTAGCAAGCTACTGAAGAACTTTTGTTATATGAAGAAAACGTAAATCTAGGGCTATTTGTAGTAAAAAACCAAAAGCTGTTTCCCTTTTCCGGCGTTGAAAAAAGAAGAACAAATCAGATAACGCACTTTTCCGCCTCTCCATGGAAGCTGAAAAATTGTTTACTTACAAATTTTTTAGAGTATCTTGAGGCAAAAAATATTTTTCTTTTTGACTCAGTAGTTTTAGGTTTGGCAAACACACCTAGCAAAAATCGAGTTAGCGTTCGCAGTTGAAGTGCTTGAGGACACGAAATTTTCAAACACCTTGTATGTAAACTGAGACAAGTTCTATATCTTATAAGGAAAGCCACCTGACTTAGCTCGGCCTTCTAGCAAGGACATATATATTAAGTCGTTTCAAAAGTAATTTCGCTTTTTTTCAAACGGGCGCCACATTTGACGAAACCAAGGTTATTAAGAGATCTTGGAGGCATTCGATGCAGAACTTTATTCTCTTTCTAAGGTTATGAAGTTGTTGCAAAACAGTCAATGAACTTTCAGAAAATGTCCAGAATCTGCGACCCATGCTTTTTGAGATGGTCAAGTTTCACAATTTTTTAAAACTTTCATGTCGATCCTCAGAAGGAGTTCAAGTAACGATTCGATAGAGTGAACCTTATAGAATACAGTACTACTTTTTTTTCCTTTCCATAGCTTGTCATACATTTTTAACAGAATTTTAACTGATGTTACCGATTTTCATACTTGGGCAGCTAAATCCTCGTAGAACAATAAAAGAAGAGCAGCTCGCGCACTATTCGATGCAGCATTTTCTACTCTTTCTAACGAGTGCTTTTTGTTTCCGATTCGTTAATTTCCGGGGAGACATCATCATAACTCATTTTTTTAGCGAGCCCCGGGCTGTACCCGAAAAACTCGAAATTTGATATTTCGAATTCGTAAACTCTCACTTGCATTGTAAAATGAATATCAAGTCATAGCATCTTGGAAATTTCAAATTCCGAATAATTGCCGTCGTTTGATGCGATTGTGGCGGACGTAGGCCTGCCAAAATCCAAAAAAAGATGGTTGTTAAAAAAAATCTCTTAAAAATTTACGGCGAGGTAGGAAAGAGAGAAAAAAGTAGCACTGTAATCTATAAGGTTTACTCTATTGAATCGTTACCTGAACTCCTTCTCAGGGTTGATATGAAAGTTTTAAAAAATCGTGCTTGACCATCTCAAAAAGCATAGTCGCAGATTCTGATTATTTTCTGAAAGCTCGTTGACAGCTTTGCAACAACTTCATAACCATTAAAAAGGAATAAAATTCTGCATCGAATGCCTCTAAGACCTCTTAGAAACCTTTGTTCCATCACATGTGGTGCCCGTTTGAAAAAAGTGAAATTAATTGAAACGACCTAATATATTCTGAATCACCTCCAAATGCTGATTCCAAATATGCTATTCCTAGCTGCCGCGCACCATTCTGAAGCGAGTTGTGAGCTTTTCCTTAGCGAAATTGGCAATCTACTGAACATGGGAAGACTGCATGCAAGTAAAAATCTGCAAGAAAAAGATGCTGAGATATCGTAACACCAATCCAATCTTCTCCCACTAAAAAGAAGCTTGACGCAAGTGGATTAGCACTTAGATGATGATGTCATGATGCTGCTAGTGACTCGATGAGTGTGCCAATTTTGCGCAGGAAAAAACACGTAACTCGCTCCGGAATGGTGCGCGACAGCTAGGAATGGTTTGGAATCAACGTTTGTATCCAAGTAACTTAGATTCGCCTTCTACAAAAACATGAAATTAAAATCAGTTTTAACTGATTCCAAATATGCTGTTCTTGTTGCAGCGCGGCACTCTAAAGCGAGTTATTGATTTTTCCTGCAAATTTTGCATTCTCTTTGATCTACTGGTGTTACGATATCATCATCTAGGTGCTAATATACTGTGTCAAGTTTCTTTTCAATGACAAAAAAACTCGATATATTATTTTAGTATTCCAGCCATTTTTAGCTAGATTTCCATCTTTAGGCATTCTTCCCATGCAGACTAGTACGCCAATTTTGCTAAGTAAAAAGCCTATAACTCTCTTCGGGGTAACGTGCCGCAGCTAGAAACAGCATATTTGATATAACGTCCAAAGCTGATTCAAAATAGTATGCGTGTCTCATCTTAAAACGCGGCAATAAGTTTTCTGACTTTTCTTTTTAGTTTACCTAAGTGAATACTGTCAATCCTCCTGTTATTGAAGATAGTAGACAACAGCGAACAATTTGTCACCAACTATTTACAACTAAGTCAATTGTAACTACCTGTTTTCGGGTGTATAAGCCTCATCACGAATTTTTCAAGCGAGCTGGTCAGACACCTCAATTTGTTTCGAAAAGCGATTCCTATATCGCACGATTCTCTTAAGCAATAGGAAGCGCATTAGGGTTGGCTGCGAAGTTCTTTGACGTGTTTGGGCTGGTCGATTTAGAGAAAAATTCCTTGCGGCTTATACACCTGAATATAGGGTACATGTAATGCACATCACGTGTAGCTTAGAAATTGTCAACTCTCAGAAAGCTGTTTATTTCTCTGTTATTTGATTTTATTCAGCAAGTAGTATACACTTTGAAAGTTTGTTCCGCGGACTTTCAGCTAATAAATTACTGGTAAGGAGCTGTGAGTTGCTGAGTGCGGTTCAGATAGTGAGGTTTATCGTGATCATTATATAACCTGTCTAAAATCGGGCAGTCTAAACACAGTGAAACATTTCGCGACAGAGAACCTTATACAGTGCTGCGTATTGCCTGAGAGCATCGTGCTGCATTTCGTTTTCCGAAGCACACAAGGCGGCTGAGCGGCTTGCATAAAAAACCGAGAAAATCCTTCATGTACTCGTGAAATTAGGGTATATATCAACGGTGCCAGTTTTAGGTGACATTCAAAACTTAACTTTGACAAGCCAATAAGGCAATCATAATCGCGCTGCTAGAAAGCAGATGTTCAAGTTTCACAAAAATCGTAATGTGGTAACAGTTGGAGAAGTGGTTTTTAGGACTACTTCCGAGAATCTCATGGAGGAACCTAGTGCGGCTACAAATCCTTCTCGTCCTATAAATGGTACGTATTACTACAGTATTTCTTACATACCAATAAATCAGTAGCGGTCCGAGAACTGTCTTCTGGAGTATAAAAGGGCGATAAAAGTTTTCTTTTAGGAGACTACATCTCCTAAACCTTGAAAGAATTTTTCTGAACTAATAGTTCCAAAAATTACAGAAAAACTAATTTTTGCAAGTAAAGACCATTCTCACATTTTTGCGGAAAGTGCGGTCGTGCGAAACGTCCTAAACCCCAAAGCAAGCGCTGCGCTGCGAGAAGGTCAAGCCAAAGTTGTGAAATTGTTGTGAAATTTGTGAAATGTGAAATTGTGAGATTGAAATCTTGTGAAATTTGAAATCAAATTCACGTATTCACAATAATCAAAATATCGAATCTTCGTCGAAAACCGTACAGATCTAACTGACTCTGGCACACATTTCCACATCAGGCATGTACAGACATGTAAGAATGTACAGCTGTTGTCTAATTCTTTGTTAACTAGCTGAAATACCCCGGGTAGGGAAACGAACTCCGCCAGTTTGAGTTGGCAACTGGTCCTTTTGCTATATTGTTGCATGTCGTCGCAGGACCAGTAGTCCGCGGAGGCGGTTCAGGCTGGCGGAGTTCGTTCCCCTTCACAAATACCCCGCTTCGCCCGGCACCACATACACATCGGGATCAAATAAAAAGCCGAAGTTGTATTTCCCAAGAAAAGGAACACAACTTCTTCGGCTCCTTGTTGCACCGTTTCGCTCTTACCCTCAAACTGGTTTGGCTGAATAGTTCTAGACTTCCTCGGAACTGATCAGAAGAAAAAATAGCTTGTTTGGATCTACTCAGTTCTTTGTTTGCCCCAATCATCTTCTCTGACCGCCGCTGGCCGCCATTTTTTTGGGCTTGTTTTGTCATTTTTTTTGGATTTTATACTTTCCAGTTTTTTTGGATTTCCCAATAGAATGGCATGCAATAAACAAATGCAGATTGCATATGTGAAACATGCAAATGATGGCGCCCTGGGACACACTACGTTAACGTGCTCCCTTCAGGCGTGTATATGTACAGGTTCGCCGGATCCCGGCCGTCGAATATCCGCTGACTGCTGACCACGTGGAAAGGAGTTTCTTAGTCCACTCCAACTGTTCGCAGAGACTGCCCTTGCGCTTTGTTGACATTGATAGTCATAGCGAGTGTAGGCCTGTAGCGATAGTGTAGCGATCGGAATGCAGTCGTTTGAAGTTAAAGTGCATATCGGAGAGGATTGAAGGTTTGTGGAATATTAACAACTTCACCTTTGAACTTTCTCACCAGTATGGTCGCTTCTATGAGGTTTGGCATGAGGTTTCCTGGTGAAAAGAAGGTGTTGCACAACTTCGGCGGGCTGATGTTGCGAAGGAGCATGGTTGGCAAACCAACCTTCAAATCAGTCTGTGAGGTGGTATCCCATTGGTCTCAAGTGAATTTCAAGAAATCAATGGGGAAGTAAACAGCCTGTTCATGTTGAAAAATCGTGTTGACAAATGTATACATTGACACACTGGCCCTGATAGACTTTTGATCTGAGCATTGATAAAATTCACTTGCTCATTTGAGTGCCAGAAGGCTTGCTTGCAAACCCACTCCTCATTGCTGATGTTGGTGGCAGTGCCTAAGAAGACCTTATCTATCAGTTATCCATGATTGAACTATATTGCAAAAGCGTAAAGTATGTGGAAAAATTCAAAATTTTTCTTCAATGAACGAATATGAATGATTATCGATCGTAATCGAACATTGAGAGTCGAATTTCGAATAGATATTCGAATTTATCGATTTTCCAGAGCAACCAAATCAAAAACTTGCTGGCATAAACCGATACATTCATAAAGAGCACCCTTGCCCACCCGCGCCAACTCCCAGCTCCACAGCTCAATGTTTTCCAAAAATCGATAAAATCGATAAAGTGAATTCCCATTCATAATCAGCACTCGATTGATGCAATTGCGCAGCATGAGTTTTACAGGCAAGAGTGCTTACTGTTGTGGACTTGATCAAAACATGAGCAACGCAAAGCATATACTCAATGCATAGAATTATGTACTCCGGTAAACTTTACTGCAAGTGTAAGGAGCAAAACCGGGAAAATGCGTATTTATAGCCTTTTTTACGCTAAAAAAAGTTCTGTGAAAATTTTCCTAACATTCAAGACAGAATCACTGACTCAACCCCTTTTTATACTACGATTGGGTTTGAAAAACTACGAAAACTGCTGGAGTTCAGTAAAAATGAGCAAATGCGCTTAAATCTTTCGAGAGGCCGCGCACGAAAATGAAGTTTTATCTCGTTAAAAAGTGAGTTTCAGCGGTGACGTTGTTCATCGCTCTAGTCATGCCATGACGATCAGAATGATATACAATGTTGCAGGGTTTCGTTGAGACCCCGCTGAAATCCACGACCACAGCCAATTGCCCGTCGGCTCTAATATTTCTCCTCTGCTCGTCTGCATCTCTTGACCTCTCCTTTCAACCTGACAACGTCGCAAAACACCACTTTTTGATCTGAACAAGAAATTTGGCAAAAACGGTGTTCTGAAAAATCTCTTGTTTCTTCTTTAGTTCTACTCTTCTTCTCGACCTTTCGCATATTCGATAGATCTTGCTTCTGTCTATGATAAAACAACGTCGCGGAGCTCACTTTTTCGATCATAGCGAACATTTCTGTAAAAAATCGTAGAGAGTGCGTTTTTCTGTACCTTTCCTCTCAGTTTTCCGCAGACTTTTCCAGTTTGGACGATTATTGTTCAGAATAACGAGCGGAACATCCAGTCAACGTCGCAGAAAATAGGAACAACAATGCGGGGTAGAAATTCAAAGCATCGAAAAATAGATTGGCTCTGACGTGAACTTTAACTTCAACTTACTTACGTTGTTAGTGAAAGCAAAACTTGGAGCATTTATAACTACAACTAATTATTTTAATGATAACTTCTTCTTGGTAAACGACACTTTCGAAACACGGTTAAATGGTTTTTTCTCGTCTTCCGCTATGCTGTGGATTGCCTAGTCCTGAAGCACCTGCAACTCGCGCCGCTGAATGAAAGATCTCAACTCTCTGCAGCGTTTTTATCAGATTTTTTAAAGTTTCATGTGCTTTTGCTATCTTTTTTGCGTCTTTTTTTCCAATTTTCTAAACAACCTTCACTTTTTAAGAGGGGTGAATATTCAAACAATCTGCACTTTTAAGGTTTTCTCTCTAGACTATCGAAAGTATGATGCAAAGGAAGCATGTCAACACTTTTTCAGTTTACAAACGCGGGCCATGATCCTCCATTCGATAGATGTATTTTGCTATTGATGCCAGTGGCAGCGCGAACTATCTGGTTTCGATAGAGCAACCAATCAAAATCCACATCAATTTTTTGCTCCTGCAAGCCGTTGGAGGAGTGCGAGTTTCCATAGAGTTCCAAGTTGATTATGGCTTTAAAAACGATGCGTTGTCGAGTTTCGCAGGGAAGAAAACAGATGAAGCGAGCCTGATAACTTAGCAGTTAGCTTTGCACCAAACTAATTTGAGTACGAATGTCACTCGAATACAAACTCGAATAAAACATTCGAGTAAAATTCATCCGAAATCTCGTTTTTTTCAATTATTCGAGTTTTCGAATTTTCGAGAACTTTCTAATTATTCGAGTTTCGAATTTTTTTTTTATAATGGAAAAATTTCGGATTTCGAATTGCGAATGCGAATATACTTGAATGTTTTACGCGAATAATCGAATTTTTATTCGATTCGGACCAAAGTATAGTCTGGAGTATAGGTAATCCAGCCAGAACTTGATTCAATCGGAATTCTGCTTTCGCAAGAAGCCAATAGCTGTTGCACAAAGTTTCTAGCAGTCTCATCGCCAAGGATGTAGACTCACATGTTTGTTGTGAGATTCAGCAATCGAACATCTCCAGAAATGAGAAGCTTTGAGGCAGGCATTTACCTCATCTGCTGGAGTCGACCACGCAATCACCAGTGAGTTTGACGAAAGTTGCCTGCCAGTAGCACGACGCCCCACCATTAGCCTGTTGCTTCCTCCTATGTCCTGCGGTGTGGAGTCAAGAGCTTAGGACTTCTTGCGCCAGGTGCATTCGCCTCAAAGTTTGAATTTGATTTCTTATAACATCTTGGCTTTCCCTGCACCTTTGCTTATCCCGCATACAGGAAGCTCTAAATGAGCAATATCTGGAGGATGCCTGAAGGCTAAGTGAGCAGTTCGGCCTCTTTTTAGCAGTGTTGAGGCAATCTTTGAGAATGCCTTGCTAATACGATGCTTCCTTGACTGCTAATCGCAACAAGCAGGAGATTGATGAGAAACATTTTCCCTGTGAAGAATATTTTACAACGTTAAAACCGGTATTTCAGTAATTAACTGGAAGCAAAGAGTAGCCCACCCTTGCCACTGGAAATCGCGTTCGGAACAGCATGGTATGCTAACTTTAGATCCTCCGCAAGGAAGGTCATGTTGGACTGCATAAATCTCGACAACTGATCGACATCATCATAGAACTTCTCTCGGAGAACATCACTCTCAAGTGCTTGGTCATCTCCGCGTATAGGTGACGGCAAATGGAGCTCTTCGAAGGTTTGACCGGTCATCCACGCGCACTGTCCTCATGCAGTATCAACGCTCTGTTGAATATCTCAGGAGAGTAATCGATGGCTGCAATAGAGTGCCTCTCGCAATATTCTATAAGTATGTCTCGCTAAGAGCCTCCTTGTACTTCTCCCAGAGTGCTTGAGGTGACCGTGTGCAGGATTGGAAATGACAGCGAAGAGACTTTGCAACTGAGCAGCAAAACCTGTTGCAGATGCTTTTGCGAGAGTTCTGTCCCAGTGTGATCATCTTCAAACAAGTCAAGTCTTAGCATCTTTTCTGTAGGTCCCACAAACCTCTCCACCGATGGTCCTCATTGCCGCAAATGACGTCGGTCCTCGGATTGTGTGAAGCAACAACCTGAGGTAGAAGCATTCGGTTTGGTTGGGGTGCACAGTATATACACGTGCTAACACATCCCTCAGATAATTGCCGGGGGCAGGCGGTCAGCAAACTTGCGCTTTTCTGCAGGCGGTCAGCAAAATTTTGGGGCGTGGTCAAAATTTCAGCGAGCGGTACTACGGTTCCGTATTTTGCCAGCGGGCAGCAACACAGAATTTCTGCAAGCGTTCGTCAAGTAATTTTTTTTAGCGAACGTTGTTCAAACATTCAGCAAGCGCTCGGACTCTTTTCATGCAATTTCGGGCGTACGCCAAGCAAAGATGAGGCTCTGTGTGGCAGAGGTGCATTGATGGTTTAATTACCCAAGTTTGAGGTACTTTCTAGATTTGACTCAATCAAATGATTGTGGTCTGATAAAATCTTGGAAATCTCTTCCTAAACAGGGACTTAGACAATCGCCGGGGGCAGGCGGGCACCGGAAAAATAGATTGCTAATCTCTCGCACCCCGCTCGCGGATTTTTTGCAAAGCAATCAGGACTTTACGGAAGACCGCTTGCTGAGTTCTCGATTCCTCAGAGATTCAGCAATATATATGCAAAAGATAAGAGCGAAAAAAATTCAACGGGCGGTCTCTCAAAAATCCGCTGACTCAGCAAGCGGTCTTCCGAAAAGTCCTGATTGCTTTGCAAAAAATCCGCGAGCGGGGTGCGAGAAATCAACAATCTATTTTTCCGGTGCCCGCCTGCCCCCAGCGATTGTCTGAGGAGAGGACAAGACACTGCATAACAATAGAATACGTTGTAAACGATACCGTACATGGTATAGCGCAAGCAGCTCTGCCGAGCATATGCTACATGTTGACATGTTTACGGTCAGTCTTTCGACATGGATCGCAAGTGCAAAGCTTTGCACTTATATGTATATGTGTTTACTAGTTTAGATGCATAGGGTAAATGCACATTTCAACATTGAAATCTTCGTTCATATTAGAAATTGCTTAGAACATAGAAGAAATTGTCATTAAATGATCGTAACTTGCTGTGTAGTAACTCTAAACACTTCGAATAGACTTTATTCGATAGAAAATCGTTCGAGTTTTTTCAAATACTTGAATATTAGCATGCCTACGACGGCAATATCGAGCTGAAAAAGGCTTCTAAAGTCAGAAAACTTATGTTTGTAAGGATAAATCGTTTTATAGACACTTAGCGAATGTCCAGGTAAGGCATACCTGTAAATGTGCGTGCAGTAGGACGTGCTGCAACTAGTCGTTCGCTAGGACGATAACGTCGACGGTTTAATCACCCAAGTTCAATGTACTTTCTCTCAGCGGAAGGTACCTACGGGCTGCGCGGTCCTGCACAAAGGACCGCGATTTTGCAGATTCTCGCGGAAAGTACGCGAGAATGGGGCCAATGCGCCGCAACTACTCAGACAATCGCTGTGGGCAGGCGGGCACCGGAAAAATAGATTGCTGATTTCTCGCACCCGCTCGCGGATTTTTTGGAAAGCAATCAGGACTTTTCGGAAGACCGCTTGCTGAGTCAGCGGATTTTTGAGAGACCGCCTGTTGAATTTTTTTTCGCTCTTATCTTTTGCAGATATATTGCTGAATCTCTGAAGAATCGAGAACTCAGCAAGCGGTCTTCCGAAAAGTCCTGATTGCTTTCCAAAAAATCCGCGAGCGGGGTGCGAGAGATCAGCAACCTATTTTTCCGGTGCCCGCCTGCCCCCGGCGATCGTCTGAGTAATCTATGAAAAACCGCGATACTTCTGCGAGCATTCGTCTAGATACTGGCCAAAATTCTTATAAATTTCTACAAGCGGACCGCAACAAATCAGCGAACTATTTTCCCGATGCCCGCTTGCCCACAAATCGCATGGCCCCCTGCCCCCGGCGATTATCTAAGCAAATGACAGAAAAGATATTTGATGAAGGATTGAGGATGAGAAATAAAGCTTACTCTTTTGAATTAGCATAACCAAGTACCAACTTACACCTTTCTAGTCCAAAATACATAAAAATGTCCCGTAAGTATTACATATTTTTACAAACAATTTTCAAAATCGTAATCTGCGTGCTGACTTACCCTCTTGCACTCCCAACCCTGTAGCTCAAAAACAAATTCGACAAGATCAATTGATAGTTCTGAAAACTAATAATTTATTTGCAATCAACACGCTCACCCCACTGCGTCAACTCCCAGCCCCGTAGCTCAAAGTTAGCAAAACTCGATAGAATTGATATCGATCGACAATGAAATGTAGCCCTCGACATTACACCCACACCGAAGTGTATAAGTTTGGTCCGGATCGGTTCAGACAAAAATATGTTTCGGAACGTACGTACATACATACAAGATATATTCAGCTTTATATGTAAGATTCCAAGTTTTCAAGCTGTGGCTTTGAACTTCCGCATCGATTACAGAGCGAGCGTTGAAGGTTTTGTTGAAGCTTGCTCTATTTTATCGGATGCTTACCGAATTTGCTTAGGTGTAACGGCCTAGTGGATACCTTTATAGCCAACCGTTAAATGCGTGTTTGACTTAAAGTTTTGAATTGCTTTCACACTCTTTTTGCGAAGTGAAGCTTGGACGCATCAAGTGATTACCGGCGGCTACAGCTTTGCTTTTAAGAAACCATAAGCATGTTAAATTCTTTCAGATCTTGTGTCCATCATCTTGTGCATCTTGTGTATCTTGTGTAACATAGGAAGGCCGCGACCGTATTACATATCCAAATCTCAATTTCTATGCTTCAACGATTATTTAAAAAAATCAACTGTCTATCTTGTAGATTCACTTAGTATCTTGTTTCAGTTAATGCTTATCAAATTTATATTCGTACTATTCATGGTAAGGTCAAAACTTCCCATGAAAAAATTTAGCTTAGGTTCCAAATGTTCGGGGATTTTGAACCTTCTAATATAGAAGCTAAGAATTGGAGTAGACCTGATATAGAGAGCGTACCAATGTAGGTGGCGTGCACTTTTTTGCAAGGGGAACAGTGTTAAGATATGTGAGAATGCATTCGCGGAAATTTGCATTGAATATCCTACAATTTGGTTTGTACCGCTAAATTTCAGAAGCTCAAAGAAGTAATGTAGCCAATTCCTCAACTTTCACATTCATGTTCAATTCTGTGATTTTGTTTTGGAAAAGGTTTTAAATTGCGGCACGTTGCTATCCCTACCAAATTTACTACAGATTTTTCAGATGCTGCCTACTGTAGCGGAGGTTCTTTGACAGAAAGCCAAATCAACTGCCAAATTCTTTCATTTATAAATCACAAACGCTTCGCGCTGGCTAACGGCATGCAACGCAACGGATATTGCGAACAAAATTGTGAGCTTCTACCACGAGCTAAGAATATGAACAAATTGGTGAGTTTGTAAGATTAAAGGCCTTGTAATGCAATTGCTGTGTTCTTAGCACAGCATGTAAGTTCAACGAAAAAAAATGCATTCTATACCACTTATAAATTAATAAACTTGAAGAAATTTGATTTTCTCCGTTTAGTAAGCTTTCCTGCGTATCTCGCACTTTTTAACTGCTCATTTCACAGAGTAGCTCACGCAATGTTGGGTGTGGACCGACAAAGGGCAATTCAATTTGAACAAATGTGGCTTCAAACAGCGACTGGGGTTAGTATCTGAAAGTAAAAATGTCCAACTAGTCGCAAAGGCTACATATTGGTCCGTAGTAAAGCTCGATCAGTTCAGGTAAACTGAACTTAACCCATCAGTTGAGCTTAGGTGAAATGAACTGATGACCGCCCACTTTCCCATGCTATAAGCATGGCGAGTTAACTGATAGTTGACCATCCGTCCACCTGCTGCAGTCAACTCTTCCACATCAGTTCACGCTCAGTTGAACTGAACGTGAACTGATGTTAGAGCAACGCAAATAGTGTGGAAAAGAGGAGACGCAGAGAAGACTCCCGTAAGTTGCTCCTGAGTAACTTACGATACACAGCAATTTGCCTAACACTGCGGACAAAATCAGCGCAAAACTGCACAACCGCGCCCGAAAAGGAAAGGATCGATGAGCAGCTGATTTTGGCGAGGAAGACAGAAAAAAACAAATTCTTCTTTTTTTTTTGTAAACTTTCACTGATTTTGTAAAGCTGTCCAAAAACGAGAACTCATTTGTTCATTTCATCAAATTCACGTTGCAACCATTTCGTTTTTTCGCAAAATTTTCGTAACGAAATGTGTTTTTGTTTTATCTTTGCATTTGCTAGGCGAAATCCTTGATAGCGGTCATCATCGATTGGATAGTGGCCGCTATCAAAGATTGCCCGGCGATCCAGCAAAAGTTGTGTTACTAGACGGAGTCGAACCAGAAGCGCGCGCGTGTAATTCCAATGGCTTACCCATTTGACCAAACCGGACCAAGTAGTCACTTTTTTGAGAACACACTTGATTGTAATGTCCAGGAAGCGATCCGCATCCAAATCGATACTCGCCGAATGCTAGACTGAGGCGCGATGAGATCACTCCCGGCCCGCGTCAAGAAAGATGCCCTAATGGGGGTTTACTACGGGCCATTATCAAATCTTTACTCCTTTGCTTGTCTGTGGCCCGTTGTTAAATCTCGGCCAGGTCACTCAAATTTAACTGTTCCTGTAGAAAGAACTTCGCAAGTTGAAGGTAGGTTGTTTTGAATTACGAAGATAGTGTGAAAGCGGTGAGTAAAATTCCCTAAATTGCTTGCGAGTAGCTTGAAGGACACAATAAACAATATTTGGAGTGGCAAAAATGTGCGCGCAAACAATAAAAAACATAATGTTACTCTCCAACAATTAGAAACGCACTGTATAAATAAACGAAACATTTGGGAAGACGGCAACAAGCCCCTTCGTCTCTCTGGTCTTGATGCCCTTTTTAACGTTGTATAGGAAAGTGTCCACAGTTTAAGCGCTAGACATCATAATTCTTGCAGAGAATTATAAATTTGAAACCAATGATGTAAATCAGATACGCAGACAGCACGAGTAAAGGGAAGGTAATTTCGAAATTGTAATTTAATCCCAGTCTTTATTGCATGCATTGGACATGAGTTACAAAATCAAAATCACACTGCTCCCCTGTTATCGCCTTCATGAATCATCAACTCCTCCCATGTCTTCATCCCGTGTCTCTACAATCAATCATCTTACTAATCTGAGCTGTGCATTTTGTGAGAATTTCATTTGCAAAGAATTTATACCGTAGATGCTTCGTACTCTTGGAAAAAGAGCAAGCATGCAAGCTGTGATCTCGCTAGTAGAGCTAGACCCATTCAGATAACTCCTTTGCACAGAAAGCTTTGTTTTCAATCCAATTTTTATGAAAGCCGGTGATAAACAATTTGGAAAGAATTTACGCTGTAGAAATCGCATTAGTAAGTGCAGTTTTTTCACTTGTTGAGGGTGTAATCGGAGCTCCAATTAACGAAGTTTCTTAATCAAAATGGCCTTAAGCTACTTTTAAACCACCTTGAAGAGCATTGTACGCTGATTTTGAATCTGTTCTCATTGTCTGCAGTTGCTCTGAACTTTAAGTTGTGAGTGGAGCTAAAAATGAACGCAATATCTAGGTAAAATCAATTGTCACAGTCTTTTCAACACTAGGAGAAGAAGTTTTGATTATGAAAAATATTAGATAGAAGGTATCCATTGAAAAAAGTGGTCTGGTGATTATACCTTCCTAGCAATTGGACTGGACAATTTTGTTCAGTTGCGTCAATTTTTTAACTCAAGAAGGATAAAAACGTAGACGTGGCCATAACTCGACATTCAGAGGCGCTTGGCAGACAACGAAAACAGATTTGGAATTACCATTTGATGCTCTTCGAATTAGTCAGCCATGTGGAAAGGCTTTTCGATTAGAAGAGTCTCCTTGCAAGCAACGTAAGCAAGCTATATCGAATCAATGTAATTAATGCATGCAAAAGTTCTTTCCATTTTTGGACCTACCCTAAAATCGCGCGGAGTTGAAACAAACCATTAGCCCAAGCATCCAAGGCAGAATTTTCTCCTTTTTTTCATCTGTAACGTTCGCGGTGCGATACTTCTCCAAACGCTGTAATTTCTGAAGCTTATGGCCCTTCATTTTCACTATGTCTCTCTTTCGCTAATTCGAGTTCTCATCTGAAACCTTTGAGAATGTTTGATAGTTTGTTGGTAATGCAAACCTTTTGCGAAATACTGCAACTTTTTGTATCTTTTTGTCATGTTTATGAATTATGAACGCATATTATTTTATGAAGCGACCAAATTTTGAATTTGTCTTATTCTTACCTGTGAAACATGGATTGGTAAACGCGATACATAGGACTTTTGCAGACAAAGTAGCCGTTATAGGCCTCGGACAGAGTTCACGCGATTTGGTCGTCGCGATTTAATCGCCGCTATTATTCATTTTCATTTTACATTCAAAAATTCCGAGCTAAAAAAGTATCACAACCGAAATGCAAGCTGATCGGCATGCAATGAAACTCGTAACAGTTGCCTTGTAGCGATTGAATCGCGAAGTTCAAATCGCGTGAATTCTGTTCGAGGCCTTACTGATTTTTACTGGTGCGCACTGTCAATTTCAGAACCTACGCATTTTGAGGCTAACGTCCCTCAGTTATTTCATGAAATTAGTGTTAGTGATAATCGGGTTACAAAACCTCAATGTTCTTAAGATTTTGCATTGTTAGGTGCCTTTATTTGTTATGCAGTTTTTCAATAATCAAGACTTTTGGACATTTGTTAGTAGTTGGCTTGTCCTCTTTTGTTGAAACCTCGGCATCGTGAAGTATGTGATAATGTTTTCTTATGCCATACGAGGTTTGGTGAAGCTCTTTATTGCGGCCTTACGTTTCGACTTATCGTCGTCTTCAGAGGCCTAAAGTGGTGCGAGATTTTGATCTTGTGCTCTACTCCACCAAATGCCTTATCGACCTCAAGCTAGTTTCGAACCCCCCACTGATTTCACTAACAATACTCGTAGAAAGTGAAAGACGAACTAACCCTCGCTTCGCTTCACCGTTGGAGCACTGATGGTATTGTGCAACCACGTCCTTTGGTGTCAGTAGTGCCAATAAGCCATTTTAGGAAGCTTATGGGTCGGTGTAATCACTACTGTTTATAGCTCACATAGCGGTATAAATGGCATGAAGTCATTCGTGATCGTTAAACATTCCTTTCTGTTGTTCATCGATGGGTTTCTTTGTGAGATATAGAATGCTTCGAGAGTTTTTCGCGCAGATGTGTTAGTGAAATCATTGGGGGGTTCGAAACTAGCTTGAGGTCGATAAGGCATTTGGTGGAGTAGAGCACAAGATCAAAATCTCGCACCACTTTAGGCCTCTGAAGACGACGATAAGTTGAAACGTAAGGCCGCAATAAAGAGCTTCACCAAACCTCGTATGGCATAAGAAAACATTATCACAGACTTTTGGACAATTAATTAGCACAATTCTAAAAAGGGAGCTGGGGAAACACAGAAAGTTGCTTAGCCTGCAAAAGCTTTGCCTACCAAAGTCAAAGCGCTTTCAAAAAGCAAAAATTAAATCATGAAAATTAGCGAAAGTTAAGCATATAGAAAATGAAGGTTTGTGTCGGAAGTGCCGCGTCGCTAACATAACTATTAGAAAGAAGAAAAAATTCTTTATCGGATGGTACTTGAGTTATTTATTCGTCTTTACATTACGGAATTTGAGGGTAAGTTCAAAAAATGGAAAGAACTTTGACACCGACCTAATATTTTAGCTGTAGTATCTTGAAACAAAAATTGAACAATGTAATTGTGCAAACTCTTTTCTTTCTTTAATACTCGCTTACCAAGCCTTTTTCAAAATAATTTGGAAAGCCATTATAAGTACTTGCAATTTGCATTGCTTAGTTAAGGTTTGCATGTTCCAATCGCGACTTAACGATTGTATCTGTCTCTATCTACTTACGCAACCCTTATAGTCGTTAGTGTACATATCAAAACCTTGACGAAATAACATAAAGTCTGCCACCGAAGTATTTTTTTCTTCTCAATCAAATTTTTTTGCCAACCTGGTTAAGCAATGCACTTGTCTCATACTTTCAGTCTGCAAAAAAACAAAGAAAAATTCAAAGAGTACAGGGTATCCCTTAACTTGCACACTGTCACGTCATAAGAAGACCTTTCGCGATTCTTTAAAGGCAGCGTCCAGCAAGAATTTGGCCCTCCATGTTTTCGTCATTCTGGGGCCTTTCCGTGGCCCTGATTACAGTTCCGAACTTCAAACTCTCCAGAATTCGCAAAAAACCCGATTCCTGGGGACCCTGTCTTGAAGGCGTGGACGAGTTTCAATCGCTAGTCCCCGTCGGCATGCCAGCGGGGAGGAGCTGCAACTGCATGGGTGCAGTTGCAGCAGTGTA